TTGAAAGTTGACTTTATTTTTATGTGTCAGTTCTTATAAATATTGTTTTCCGTGCTTTAAAAATATCATCACGGATTTCTCTGTTTTTTCCTTTCTGGTAATTGGTAGAGTATTTTGCATGACGTCTCTTTTGGATATTTTTAATTTCTTTTTTGAGTGATTACAATACAACGAACCTCAATAATTGGAATATTTATTATCATACAATGAGAAAACTGAAAATTTGGAAAATAAAAGATGCAGAGAAATGTTTCGAGGAAAGGGTCTCCAAGAAGCAACAATGAGAGGAAACTCCATTGTGACTCAAATGGTAATGACAAGGAAACCTCATTTCCTCAGTCCCCACTTAGAGGTAAACATTAGTATTTAAAATTATTCTTTAAACTTCAATAATTTGATTTATGTGTCATATTCTTGATACTCCCATCATTTCATTTAATACATGATTTACAAATATATTATTAGACATTAAGTTTACGTTGCATTTCACGTATATGGACATGTATTTTTTTCTAGAGCCCCATGGTGTATAATTTGTTTCTTTGTTCATTTTTTTGTTACTATGTGATATAACGTAATAGTATCAAATGGACCTAGCAGATTCTTGTAATAAATTCAGTTTGGAATCATCTGCGACTGTCTGTAATAAAAAATTCTTAAACTTGACGAAAATAATGCGGGTTTTTGAGGATGGAAACAAATATATTTCACTTCGAATAATTGTTTTTTTATTGAGGGTTAGAGACACTATTTTCTTGGGATAGTTTTATTTTCATGAACGGTTTTTGGGTATACTATTTATCTTTGACACAAGAAGGTTTGGTTTGCCTAATCTAAATAAAAGTTGATTTTTTTTTATAATTCCACTGATATATTTTTCCCTTTGGAGGTAGTATAAATTAGAAAAAGTGTTAGGTGGGATTTAGTTAAAATGACCAACCCATGCTTTTTTAGCTCTAGACCGTAACTTAGATTTATATATTTAAAAACAAAACTTCACCAATTCTCCTTATTTTTTAATAAAAATATTCCATACATCTTACTAACTTTTTACTTTTTGCTTTCAATCTATGTAAGTGTATCATATACACGTTCAACTAATAGGAAAAGTCTAGTTTTTTTTTTAATCTATTTCTTGATTTATAAAATTTTAGTATTTTTGTTTAGCGACATAGCTTTTAGCAGACCACAAACGAATCAATATTCCTACTTTTAATTCTTCTGCAACGCATGCTCACTCATACTAGTATTAAATTCGGCATTCCAATACTAATGAATACGTTATGTTTCAGTTTATTTTGTCTTATCAAATAAAGAAAAAGAATCATTATTCATTGTTGTTATTAATTATAAAAGCTTATGCGGTATGGCATTTGATGAGTTTGCAGGTTCAAGCACGCCGGAAATGCCTGGCATTGTGGGACCCACAGATCATGCAGGCACGGCTACAACCGCAACCACCGCTGTTTCGGCCTCGCCGCTTCATCAGATCACCGTCACTACCGCTGCCGCGACAACTGGAAATATGATCTCCGATCAAAATAGAGAAAGAAGATTTGGCTTTGCAAGGAAAACAAGTTTTAAACGTTCTCACAATTCTTGGATGCTTGATCCTAAGAAAATCGTCCTCTTCTTTGCAACCTTGTAAGTAACTTTGTTTTCTCAACATAATTCGTTTTTGACAACGCATAATTTATTTAATTAATCAACCTAAAAAGATATACACGTACTACCTTATGAAATGCAAAAATGTCCAAAAATATAGAACTCAAATTGCATACGTAAACTATGTTTTATATTTTAGCTATTATTGGGTTTAAAAGTCTGGATTATTTTAATATATAATTATCATAAGTCATGTACGACGACATGTTATAAACGATCGGGATATCTGTTACAATTTTTTTTTAATTATATATCTGTTACAATTTAATAGGTAAAGTTCTTTTTTAACTATTATAGTTGATGTAATGTTTATTTTCTGTGACAGGTCAAGCATGGGATCAATCTTGTTAATCATATTCACTCTCTCAATCAGGTCTAGTTCTGGAGATATGCCGATCTAGACTAATAGTAATC